TGTCGGGACGTGGAACATATGTCTGTATATAGACCTAAAGCCAGAACAAATTTGGGTTCTGGGGTCCCCAGCTTTCAAAATTACTGGCAAGTCTCCTTAGCAGTATGCCAAGTTCTCTATGAGGTCTTGAGAGACAATCAACAAAGAGACCAAATAGATGTCGTAGCCTTTCAGTATGTCCTTTCTAATTGGCAGGGAAACTAATTGTACTGGTATAATAATGTGAGAAAAGGGAACATATGCTGGATTGTAACTGGTGATGTTACACTGAGAGGATGGAAGTAAGGGGTATAAAGTAGGGTATTCCATGGAACTCAGGAGTTAGGAGATTCTAACTTCTCCAGTTTGTTGTTATCATATTTCCTGACGTGTGTGATGTACTATAATGAAGAGTAAATGTGACGGCCATGCTGGTGATTGTGTAACCCTGCATCAACTGGTGGCTTGCATAGTGCTGAATGGAGATGAATTTAACTAAACAAGGTAAAGGTGTGGCCCTACAAAAAGCCTAGTGGCTCTGAGAGGTTCTAGCTATGACTAAGCAAGGGACTGAGGCCACTGAACAAAATGGCGGGAATGTTGGTCTCTCAGTGACAAGTAAACGATTCAAATGAGTGGCTATGAAAATAACCTGGAGAGGCTCTAGCTATAAGTTGGGCGAATACCTCCGCGTGAGGATGCGAGTTGGCCTTGGGGGATTGAATTACAGTTATACTAGAATATTATAAAAACAGTTGAGTAAGCGCTAAATAACACAAATGAGCAGCAACCCTAAAAAAGGGAATCCCTCAAAAACCCTTTAGGATAAGACACAAAAAAATATAGAAAAAGGGCTGCGCTTAAAAAATTTATATATAAAAGTCCAGATGAAATAAATAAATGGATAAATAAATAAATGAATAAAACAGAAGAGGTCTTATCTTGCAATGTCCGTAGTGCTTAGTCAGAGGTAATACTCTTGCTTTATGTCTTGCTTTCTGTCTTTCTTGTGGATCGTCTCTTATGTAAGATATAAAAACAAATACAAAACCACAATGGTGCAGTATATCTATATGAGTGAGAAATAAAATATAAAGGCTTGATTGCAAACTCACATATCCAAGAGCTAGGACCTGCTCTGGTATAGAAGGCGTACAGCGGTTTAGATCCCCGCTTATGGGATATAGGATGGTTATCCTCCACGTGTTTCCTCCTTCCGTGGTTTAAAAGATGCTCAAATAAAAAGAGACAGCCAATAGTGTTCTCTGCGTAAAATTAAACTCCAATATAAAATAAAATAAAAAATGGATACTCACAAGACAGGAGCAGGTCAACTGCTCCTGATATTTCGCACTGGTGGAATAATCCCCACCTAGGATTGCTTGGAGTCCAGCGGATGATGCCAGGTAATAATAATAATTATATGTGTATTAAAAGATAAGTAATACAATAAAAGATTATAAAATATACTTTAATTGTAACATTACACAATATAAAAAAACCATAAACGCGTTTCGCCAATCGGCGTTATCAATATGGGTAAAGGACCTGATACCTGGCATAAGATCATTTAAATAGCATACTCAATTAACTCAAAAATTGGCGCCAAAATTTGGACAGCCAATCAGATTGCAATAACAAATTACATACAGTATAGCAATAGTAAAACATGAACAATAGTATGTATAAAGGTAAAGCTAAAACAGACATTATAAGTTATGTAATTAGACTTTAAAAACGATCAATGGTTATTTAAAAAAAGGCGAAAGGACTCTAAGGTGCGCGGTCACATGACCGGCATCACAGCCGCAAGGGGTTATGGGGTATGTAGTTTGACGCCGGCCGGCACTGCGCAGCCGCCGGCGTCATGAGAGGGAGCTAGGGGCTGGCGTCTGTTCGCATAACAGATGCGTCCAGACGCCAGTGGGGGGAGCGAGGGGCGGGTGTACTGGTGACGGCGGCACGCACAGAACAGTGGCCGCCGTCATCAGGAAGAGAATGGACGACGGCTCACACAACGCTGTGGCCGTCGTCATGGAGATGGAACTAGCAATATAGGCAGAATAAGGCTGAATGGAAGAAGGGGGAAGAGAAACAACTATTATTCCTAAACATATATAAGTGAAGTAAAATAAATGAAGCTGGTAATTAAAAGAAAATATGAAGTAAAAATAAAAATAAATATAGATAAAAATAAATATAAATATAAATATAAAATAAATAAAATAAAAAATAAAAACATGATGGGGAAAGAGATAGGCAGGTAAAAAACAGCATCATATCTGCTCTACTGGATAATAAGAGTAGGCATAATGAGATAATATAAAAACATATGGTTGTAAAGAGTATAATCAAAAAAAAAATTGGATTATAAAAAATTAAATAAATCAAAATCAGCATTCAGACCATAAGGTGCAAGGGTTTGGAGTGTATAAACCCACTCCATCTCTTTTTTGCCTAGAATATTTTTAATATTTCCACCCCTCCATGGAACCATACATTTACCTATAGCAATGCATTTGAGCATTTTGGGATCTTTATTATGTATAATAAAATGTTTGGATACTGAGTGATTTAAGTATCCATTCTTGATATTTCTGCAGTGTTCGCTCAGACGTATTTTTAGACACCTTGTGGTCATTCCAACATATTGGAGGCCGCAGGGGCATTCAAGCAGATATATTACATTTTTCGTGGAGCAATTAATAAAATCATTTATTTTGTAAACCTTGTTTGTCCTTTTTGATGTAAATTCCGTTACTTTGGATGGAACATCAAGATTGGTGGATTTACACACAATGCACATTTTACACTTGCAGAAACCTTTTATTTGTGGAAAAAAGGATATAGGGGGGTTTTTTTTAGGATTTTTTTCTCTTGTAAAATTGTTGGTCAGAATAGATTTAAAATTTTGGGCACCCCTAAATATAATATTGGGGCGTTCAGGTATAATTTTGTTTAGTATTTCGTCTTGTTTAAGAAGGTGCCAATGTTTTTTAATGATTTTTTTAACATAATTACTTTTATTATTAAAGTTAAAAATAATTGGTAAAGGCATTTCTGTGTCCGTAGTTTTGGGTTTGTATTTTAGGAGTTCATTCCTATCTTTCCCTTGGATCTCCTTAATTGTAGTTTCTAAATCTGATTTTGGATAGTTTTTTTCAACAAATTTGTCTTTTAAAAGATTCGCTTGTATCTCAAAGTCTTTAAGTTCTGAACAATTTCTTCTCAGTCTGAGAATTTGACTTTTAGGGGCGCTGTCTAACCATGGTTGGTAATGACAGCTATTTTTGTCAATAGCAGTATTAACACAAACCTTTTTAAAGAAAGTTTTTGTATGTACCATACCATTTTTTATAAAAATATCGAGGTCTAAAAAATTGATTTGTTCTCTACTGTATTCGCAGGTGAGTATTATACCTCTATTATTCAGGTTGAGGTTAGTAATAAAAGAATTTAGAGCTTCTTCAGTACCATTCCAAATAAAAAACAGATCATCAATATATCTGAAAAAGGAAACCAGGTTCGCTCTCCACGCGTGGTTACCAAAAATGGCTTGTGACTCCCAGTCAGCCATAAACAAATTTGCATAGCTGGGAGCAAACCTGGTCCCCATGGCAGTACCTCTTTTTTGCAGATAAAAGGAGTCTAAAAACCAAAAATAATTATTGTTTAAAATAATATTAATACCTTCTAAAATGAACTCTATTTGTTGGTTGGCAATTTTCCCTTCTTTGGTTAAAATATCTTTTACAGCTTGACAGCCTATATCATGAGGTATGATCGTATATAGTGACTGAACATCGCATGTCACCAATATAAAACTAGATTTCCATGTAAAATCATTTAAAAAATTTAAAAGAGCCATGGAATCTTGAAGGTATGATCTCATGAGTTTGACTGAGGGTTGTAAAAGGATATCTATATATTGTGAAAGATTACATAAAAGGGAACCTATGCCTGATACAATAGGTCTTCCAGGGGGGAGGGTTTCACTTTTATGGATTTTCGGGAGGAAATAAATTACAGGTGTTATGGGGTGTTGGTTATTTAAAAAGTTAAATTCATGTTTATTTAAAATACCTTGCTCTACACCTTTATTTAAAAATTCAATAAAAACATTTTGGATTTGTTTTATGGGGTCTGCTGTGAGTTTTTCGTATACATTAACGTCATTTAATTGTCTAAGAGCCTCATTTATGTACATATGAGAAGATTGGATCACTATTCCTCCGCCTTTATCTGCTGGTTTGATGACAATGTTTTCATCATTTTGGAGTTCTTTCAAAGCTATCTTTTCTAAATGGGTTAAATTGTGGGGGTCATATTTGTTGTTTTTGATTTTTTCTAAATCTTTTGTGACAAGTTTTTCAAACATAGTAAAGGGAGCAGACTTATAATGGGCAGGATAGAAAGTAGATTTCTTTCTAAGAGAGGTATTAATAATATCATTATTACATGAAGATATTGAAGGAGTTAGAGTGACATTTGGTTCGGGTTTTTCCATGAAAAATCTTTTTAGAGTTGCTTTCCGAACAAATTTATTCACATCAATAAAAGCTTCAAAAGGTTTAAAAGTATTAGTAGGGGCAAACTTAAGACCTTTAGTTAAAACCGCTAGGTGTGTACTGTTTAAAATCTTTTGTGACAGATTAAAAATGCCTCCGTTAGTTACGTTAAGAGAAGGTGCTATCTTTCTAGTCTTTCTCTTTTGTTCGCGTCTACCACTTCTTCTTCCTCTGAATTTAAAATCCTTTTTTTGGGGCGTGAGGGGTGAGGTGTTTGGGCTAGTGTAGTGCGATTGGTTCGGATCTCTAAAAAATGATCCTCATTTTCAAATTCAGAGTCTAATGACAGTAGTTGAAATCTATTAGGATGATTCGGAATTGTAGGTGATTTGGAATAATTCGCATACTCTTTGTGATCGTTGATATATTTCGATCTTTGTGGTTTGGGAGACAAGTGTTTATATTGGGATCCAAATTTATTGTGATATGATGGTGAGGTATTGTGATGATTATGGGGATTGTTTCGGTTGCGTTGTTGAAAAGGATGATATTGGTGAGTGTTATAGTGATTGGCTCGTTGTGGTGGACCACGAAAGTGGTTATTGGGTGCCCTATAAGTGTACATATTTTGTGATTGATGTGATGGTTTGCTTGTACTCTGGTATTGATGGGACTGATATTTGGAGTGTTGTCTCTCTGGATTTTCATATGTTCTTTGTTCGTGATAGGAATTGGTTTTTATAAAACCACTTTTT